CGATACAAGTTGGATCTTAATAGAAAAATAATTAAAAAAACTTAAAGTCAAATTTCTTATATCTATTATGCCAGTTCTTCAATTCCATATAATCATGTGTCCTTTTTTATTTTATGTGAATTTACAATTAAACGCTAATATTTTAAGAATACTATACATGTTGATATATGATTAAAGAACTTGATATAACAAAAATAAAAAACTTGATGTAAGTATTATCCGAAATTAATTTCCCCCTAAAATATTGACAAATAAAAAAATTAGAAACAAAGAATAAAGAACTCAATAAATTTGACGGACTGATTGAAAAAAATTTTTTTGACAAAAATAAAGTAAATTCTTCAAATCCTTTTCATAATGTAGTGTATGCTGCCATTTAAGAATTGGAACAAATATATTTGTTGGATATTGCCGTAAAATAATTATAATTCAACATTAAATCTTTCACAACTAAGGGATTTATTAAGAATTGGACAAAATAGATGCGATAGACGTCATCAATTTGTTTTGTTTCTAAAGTTAAAATAAATATAATTAAAGAACAAATAATATCTAAAATAAGGAAATGATATTCCGTTCATATCTACCTTAATAAAAAATTTATTAAAAGTCATGTAAAAATACTAGTACTTGAATGCTGTTCTTTTTCAATGACATGCGATGTTATTGTCTAACGTTAACATGAATTGATGAAAAGACAAGTCATGATGTAAAAATGATACCATATCACCAATTATGAGAATTTTTTTCCTAATTATTTTTATGATTGGTTAACCTCCATTGACTGTCGCTGATCGGTAGTCAACATCAAACATATGGGGGGATTCCTATAATTTAACAAGAAAAATTAATTCAAACTAAATCCGAAGCTACCTCGAAAGTAATATTTTGAGTTTAGTGATTATATTATTTTTAGTCTGTGATTCAAATCTTTTTAGTTACTTTATTTTAAAAAATTCTTCCAGTCACCAGAGCTTTGACCTTGAGTGCTGGTAGTCAAAACTCTGACAACAGGTAAATATTTTTTTTAAAAAAAAAGGAGGTGTTATTGTATTTTTATTCTTAAATTTTAATTTCATTTTAATCCAAGGAGGCTAATTGAAATTTTGAAATGTTTTAAAAGTTGACTGATATTAAGTAGCTACAGTGATCCTAAAATGAACTTTTCCCTTTATTTAAGGAATTTTTTTCTTTTCAAAATATAAGCACTACTACACTGTACTTTTATTTTAATAGGAAAACTAAAGCATTTAATAATCATACTATTAATAAATTTAACTGATTCAAATTAAAAATATAATTATTTATAAAAAATAAATTATGTTAAATGAAGAATAATATAAAATAACATCTAATATACGCATTGTTTAATCTACAAATATTAGATCGTTTGTTTGACAGGCAAATATTTTTATGGTAAGAAAACTTCTAGGTGAGACTTGAGTTTATAGTAAAATTATTTGTTATATAAGAATCTGACCTAAAGGCTAAGTCTCTAAAGAAATTTCCACTCCATATTGTGGCAACTAAAGCGATACAGACATGTAAAGTAAAGTAGAGAGATGATAATAAAACTAATAGTTTTTGGATAAAAAAAATTAAATCTTAAAAATAAAAAAATTGTTCTTTACTTGAGTATTTTATCAAGGTACCATCTCCTATGGTGATTGAGAATTTAGTTCCTTATTATACTCATGCTCAACAATTAAAAATAAAAATAAGTAAATAAATAGATAATGAGTTTTGGAATGTGGGCTATTCAGATAATGTAATTGTCACTAACCTCAAATATCAGAATAGAATTGGACGAGTGATGCAGAAATGTCCACTTCAAATCAAATTAAGAGATGCTCAGCTACACGAAATTAGCAAATAACAATTAGAAACAGAAACAAGAAGTATACAAAATTCAATTATTGTAAATTCAGCGTGATTCATTCATTTTTCGATAGAGACAGCATAATTCGTTCGAGTATACAGTTTTTTTTTTTTTTTTGTATTTCTCTTTGGCGAAACTTGACAAGAAATCTGGGGGGAAAAAAAAATAAACTCATTCGAGTATACAGAATTCAATTATTGTAAATTCAGCATAATATATTACTTTGGTCCTAATTATAAGACCCCAATCCATTTTGTCTCTCGTATTTATGTATTTTTTCCAAGATAGTCCTTCTAATAATGATAGTTCTAACCAACACACTTAATTAGCAAGGATATTTTAGAAATAACAACACTTATTTGTTACAAATAACTAACTTAACTTACTTCCTTAATCTCTTCAAATTAGTCAACTGGGTCTTATAATTAGGACCGGAGGTAGTATAAAGAAGTGTCTAACAGATTGTGTTTAATTTTTAATATTATTATGCTTGAAAAGTTAATTTAAAGTCCAATAATGTTTTGATTTTCTATTAATAAGCAAATATATAACGCTATGTAGTATATATAGTACCTTGATAAAACACTCAAATTTGAAGTTCAAATAATGATCAAACAATAAATAAACACGAGACGTATATAGTAGAATTGATCTTATGTACTACTTCCGATCCTTAATATAAGATCTTATTTGATTTTTATTTTGATCCTAAATATAAGATCCCAATCTATTTTGTCTCTCATATTTATATATATTTTTTTAAAATAGTCTTTCTAACAATAATAGTTCTAGCCAATACACTTGATTAGCAAAGATATTTTAAGAAAGATAATACCTATTTATTACAAATAACTAACTTAACTTCTTTTTTTAATATCTTCAAATTAATTAACTAGTTCATATAAATAGAGTCAGAGGTAATATCATTGACTGTGGATTTTAATATTCAAAACTAATAAATCGTTTTTATGTTAAAGCAAGCGATCTAGTATAATTTCGTAACACGTGTTTTCTAATAATTTCCAGCCGAAAGAAATGTATCGTTTAAGGACACCTAAGATAAAGAAATAATGTTGTCATGGGAATTCTCAAGTTCAGATTTGCGCGATATCTTCGGCTGCAAGAAAGAAACAAGCAACGATTGTCTCTAAATTAAAACAATGGCGTTATTTTGAAATTAACTTGTAAAGAGTTTTCCAAGCGAACAATATTTAATAAAAATTAATCTTTAAGAAATTATTTTCATGACTGGTTTACGTCTATATCATTTCATAAGAAAAAATAATTATAACCAAGTATTGAGCTATTTTAGAGTAATATTTAGGTAAATTCACAAAACTTATTTAAAAATAAATTGTTTATTTAGAACTTATATATGTAATCACCATTTTTCCAAATAATAACAGCGTTACCCAGTAATCTTGGTAAATGGTAATTACGCATTATATAGATATATCAACAAGGAGAAAAAGTCTTCTAAGCCAAAATTGAATGCATTTTTTTGGTGACTGGCCAAAGCACATGCATATCTAAAAATCGTTACATTCTTTTATTTTAATAGAAAAACTAAAGCTTTTAATAATCATATTAATAAATTTTATTGACTTAAATAAAAAAATATATGATTACCCATAAAAAAATTAAATCGAGTTAATTTCAGAAAACTAAAAGAAACGCATCTAATAAATTCAATGTTTAATGTACAAATACTAGTTCCTTTGACTGATAAACAAATACTTTGCATATGCAAAAAGATTAGGTGAGACTTGAGTTTATAATAAAATTATTTGTTATTTAAGAATCTGAATATTGAGTTCAAATGATAATCAAAGAATATAATAGATGAGACAATACAATAGACATGTAAAGTAGCGAGATGATAACGAAGGTAAGGGTATCCTTGGATCATAAAAAAACGTTAAAAAAGAATTCCTTCATCAAGCTAAATAAAAGAAAAAAAAGTAAATAAATAAATAAATAAATCAGTTAGATGACTTAATCTAATATAATCGTTACTTTTTCTTTTTTTTGCCACTATAATATAATAGTTACTTACCTCAAATGGATGATGAAGTTAGACAAATAACGCAGAAACGTCCTCCGGAGTGACTCCCAAATCAAATTAAGAGATTATGCCCCACTACACACAAATGGCAAACAACAATTCACCCAATTAGCACAAACATACGAGATATATATTTATATATATATTAATTTTCAAAAAATTTAAAGTCTTGAAATTCGTTATTGTATAATTATTGACGACCCGAAAGAAGGACCAAAAAAAAAAAAAGCTCATGTACACTCAGAAAACGGTAGTTATTGAAACAGTATTCAGGTTGATGATATTCCCGATTTATTTTTTCTTTTTTCATGAATATTTCAAATTTCCATAAGAATATTTCAAAATTCCATGAGTTACTATGAATATATATATATATATCAAACAACAACGGTCCAAATTAAATTTTATTCTATTTTTAAATTTTATTTTCATATAATCATGATGTAAAACAAAACTAATCTTTTAACAACGATCAGTTGTCTGTTCAATAACTTAAATTCAATATAATGAAAAACATAACTTAAAATAATCTGACTTCTTTCACAAATATATATTTCCGAAAATAGGCATTCCATCAAATTCAGTACGAAATTTAAATTAATATAAATTCAACGTAATACACAAAAATACAAAATAACATCCAACATTTCATTTCTAACTTTCTAATAATATTTTGATTAAAATTAATATTTACCTCTAATATTTTCAATATCTGATTAGTAGCAAGGGAAGGCAACCAGAACTTGATTGAAAATGGATTTTAGGAATTTAAGAAAAGCATAGACGACTCTAACAATACACACACTCACCTGGTTCTATCTAACAAATATATAAAACAAAAAACCTTTTTTCTACTTTATGGTCATGTTAAAAAAAAGAAAAAGACTGAATGTCTGGACATAGTATTGGAGGACAGAGACACCGCAGCTGCTGGAAGATCTATTGCATCAACCGCAAGATCTATCGTCACCCAAAAGAAATTTAAAAAAAAACTACATTCTGTTATTTACCTGTAATATGAACTTAAGATAATGTTTTTTCTTTCCTTTTTTTTTTTTTTGGAGGCAGAACAAGAACTAATGGTAAGCAAAGTAGAGAGTTGATCGGCGGAAGTGGGGCGCTGCACACCAGAAGAGGCAGAAGCTTGGAGTCTGGAAGTAGCTTGGAATCTGGGGATCAAAAAGGGTGATATTGGAGGTTGATGCGAGAGAAGCCGTTAGAAGGTTGAAGGGGAAGGAAAAAGAAGGAAGCGTTACCTGTTGTTTATGGAAGGAGATTGCTGACTTAATGGATCGAAGGTGGGAAGTCAGAGCAGAGTGGATTAGGCGAGAAGCGAACGCTGTAGCAGACGCTCTTGCGAAGTTGACTCTGGAAATGGTTGGGTCCTTGCAGATCTGGAAAGAGGAAGCAGAGATCTTGAAGGTATTATGCGAAGAATATAAGAGGAACATGGGGTAGCCGTCGTGTAAGGGTAGGTCATGAGTAGTGCGTCGGCCTTGGGCCCTCTTTTGTCAGCCCAAAAAAACAGCAGAGAGTTGATGATTCCACGTGCGCCTTGACTTGAGCTCTTTAACCATGGAAACACCAATTCTAAAGTTCAAAGTAAGCTACATTTAATTCAAGGCCAAAAAAATTAAGCTATATTCAGAATAATTCCAAATTCGGAATAATGTCCCAAGCACGACGCACACGTACAATCTGTATAAATTTGAGATCGAATGAACAAATAATTCGCTTTAATTATAAATATATTTCTCACATGTTGTATTAAAACAATTTATAAAAGTTCACATCGCAGGTTAATTAATTAACTAACTTTATAAATAATTTATATGCTATATACTAATATTATTTATCAGTAATACATAAGTGATGAAAATTATGGCGATAAATTTTCGAGCCGTGGGAGAATGAAGCAAAGCACCAGAAAAGGACTGAATCTAATTTAGTAAACGCCAAAAAGTAAAAAGAATATCTTAGGAGAATTATTTGTAAATTTAAGAGGTTGATTTTTAAATCTATGAGATTTATTTAAATTTTGATTAAATTTAAGGTAGATTTATTTATTTTTCTCCAATGTCAATTTAGAGGGGGATATTCTGGAGCACCAGAAAATGCATTCACATTCACATTTTTTTTCTTGTCATATTTGTAGAATAGCCGCTATAATTATTTTGATTTGGTCCGTCCACATGCTAGTCACTAATGAGTTACTACCTCCTGCTTTTTAATATAAGATATCGTTTGACTTTTATTTTGATTCTAAATATAAAACCCCAATCTATTTTTTCTCTTATATTTATGTATTTTTCTCAAGATAATCCTTTTAAGAATGATAATTCTAGCCAATACATTTAATTAGTAAGAATATTTTAAGAAAGAGAACATTTATTTATTACAGATAACTAATTTAACTTATTTTATTAATCTTCTCAAATTAGTTAACTGGCTTTTATAACGAGAACCGAAGTTAGTATTTTTTTTATATTTAAATAATGAATCTGTTGTCATATTTGTAGACTCATAGGATAACGAGTCTTTGCTAGTAATGACCAAATAGCCCTCTAATCTTTAATATAAGACCTATTTAACTAATTTAATTAGATTAAGGAAGTCAGGTAAGTTAGTTAATTATAAGAAATGTGATACGTTTTTCCTAAAACACCATAATAATCTTTCTTAATACCCCATCTCCCTCTTTTACTTGATTATGGTTGAGGGAGTACCTATAGGGGTAATTTAAAAAAAATTGATAAATATGAAAAATGGGTCTTATATTTAGGATCAAAATCAACTCAATAATTAGGTCCTATATTAAGGAACGGAGGAGTATTAAAATATAATCAGCCCAGTGGATTTGTCTCCTAGCAATAATTTAAAGACTTTTCAAAGAAAAAAAGCCGAAACGACTGAAGGTAAGTAAACAGAGACTAATCATGTTAATTTTTTTAATGATTCTTTTGTCATAGTTAGATTATTATCATATAAGATTTAATGAAATAATTTGAGTGAGTTAAGGATATTAGTTACATTAGTTAACCCGATATATTTTTTCTAAAACACAATAAGTGTCTTTTTTTAATTTTCTTTTTTTTTACTATTTGATTATTGTTGAGAGAATACCAATAAGACTGATTTGAAAAAAATTAATAAATATATGAAATAAGTTTTATATATATGATCAATATTAACTTTGTAATTAGATCTTAAATCAAAAAGAGAGTCTTCAAGTTAGGGAGGGACCATCTTGTCTTATTTTTTATTTGTTAATGATTCTTTGACACGTAATTTTCTTGTTTATCGCATTCACATGGCCCTGCTTGTGACTAATAAAGACTTGTACACTAAAGAAGCGGCCAAACAATAATAAATTAAAATTAATCAAATCCGCTTGGTTTAGGCGTTTCGACATTGCAGAAATGGCACGTAGGCCATAGCAAGCAAATTGAATCGAAAAAAATATATTAAGTTTAAGAAAGTGACAATTTTTTTGTCTGATGAAAATAACATTTAGGATCCGTTTAGTTTAGTATCAAAGAAAATGAGAGGAGAGAAGGAGAAGATGCAACTTATTTTCTTAAAATATCTTTATTCTTGAAGTTTTTTATTCTTTATTTTATAAATTATAATAATTATTTTATAATAATTTTTATATAGTGTAACTTGGGTCTTAAAAGCTCAGTAGATTGTACATCGCAAAAAAAAAAAAAAAAGAAATCTTATGATACCTAGTTTTATATCCAAAAAAATGTTTTCATTTATTTTTTCTATGTACTTCATATTTTGCAGTGATTGATATTTATGGGACAAAGAGAAATTCTCAATATTATGATGGGAGGGGAAAATGCTTATATTATAGATATATAATCAAGTAAAAAGTACCCATTCTGCTGTTATACTTTTTTTTTCTTCCCAAAATGATGATATTGAGATTAATAATGTATTACTTTATAATATTCCCCTGCTATAAAAAATACTATAAGTTAAAGATATGTAAAACAAAGAAATGATATTATGATAATTACCTGTAAATAATTGTGATATCTTTTGAGCCCGAAGCCAATGCAGAAAGATGACAACTGAAACTAATTAATTATGACAGCACAAGAAAAGCAGGAATGCTCAAGTTACACTTTATCAAAAAAATTATAGACAACAATGAAAATTAATAACTATTCTTTAAAAATGATATGATAAAATGGATAATTTTTTTCAACAAAATAGAGAATATTTCGTCTGATTTCCTTAAAAAAAAAAAAGCACTAAGCCCCTAAAATATTATAACTAAGCATTATTGACATAACTAAGTCATTGTAGTATCATAAGGCTTTTCAAATAACTAAAATGAAATCAACAAAAAATATAAAATACATATTTAGTTAATTACCTCAAACTCTGCAATCAAATTAGATAGGAAAAGAAAAGCTCACGGAGATGACCTTGGAATCAAATTGCGCGATGCCAATCTTCATTAAGGAAACAAACAATGATTTAATTAATTAAGACTATGATATTACGGTCATTTACTAGGAATATTCATTATTGTAAATTATTGTGAAATTCAAAAGAAAGAGAGAAAAATTATTGGGATTAACACTAAGAATGTTTGGAATAGTATAGTTGTTCGAATGGATTGATTGTCACTCTGCTTTTATCTTTTGTACTCTTTCCCTTTCCAGTTTGTTATTTTTTTCTGGACTGGGACTATTTTTTTTTTTTAATGAAATATATTTGGTTAAAAAGAAAATAAAAGATCCTCATTTGCTAAGATTTGGCTCGTGGACTGTTACAAACCAAATCAGAACCCTGGTTATTTTGCAAGGAGGTTGGCCTGAGGTAAATCTGAAGTGGTTGCGGCTGAAGAATGAAACAGGGAATGTTTTGGGGCAGGGGGGTCATGATGCTGATGAAAATGGTTCTCAGAGTATTATGGCTACTAAGACAAGGGACAATTGTCGACTTTGTATTCCTTCTAAATCTAATGAAGTTCTTAAAAGAAAGCAAGTTAATTTCCTGGATCCAATGCAAGAAGTTTCCGAAATTTGCAATAATTCTGTGTTGTTCCTTAAATAATGTTGATCATGGTGCTAGCACTAGTAGGACCAAGTTCCTAGGAAGGCTGTTATCTGATTATGAAGAGGCGGTAGGAGTCATAACTAAGAAGTCTGATGCTGGTACTGAGAAAGTTCCTTCTGTTCATGTGGACAGTGATAATAGTTCTAAAGCAATTTTAGGTTTGCAAAGGGTTTTATTTGGAAAATGTCACTGTCAATTTGGGGAATTTGAACCTGAAACGGGAAGCTTATGATGATTTGGAGTGTGCTATATATCATGAAAACGAGAAAGCTGGGCATTGGTGATGCTGATAGGAAGAATTCTATCGCTGAATTTGCGGGGGCTCGAGGGAAAGAAAAGCTAAGATGACAAGAATTGCTTTGAGGAAAGCCAAGCAGTATGAGGAATCTAGCATATCTAATTCGATGGAAAATTCCAAAGGCAAAGTTGGCTGGCCTTCAACAGCCCCATCAATCTCATGAAAATCATGTCGTGTAATTGTCAAGGTCTGGGGGTTTCTTTGACAATTAGGAATTTGAAAGACTGCTATAGAAAAGTCAGATCTTCAATCATTTTTTTGATGGAAACAAGAATGAGAAGTGAAAAATTGAAAAGACTTGGGAGCTTGCAACATGGATTATGAATTATATGTGGAACCTCGTGGAGAATCTGGTGGATTGGCTCTTTGGTTGCAGAGTGGTGTAGATATTAAGGCTCTGTATCAGTCAAAAACTTTGATCCATGCTAGAGTCAAATCTGTGGCTTTAAATGTGCCTTCTTTCATTACTTTTATTTATGATGCTCCTAAAGAAAATGATAGAAATCTAGTTTGGAATAGACTTCAAGCTTTAGCTCATGGGCTCAATGATACTTGGCTTTGCGTAGGTGATTTTAATGAACTTGGTTCTCAAACGGAAAACAAGGTGAAAGTCTCCTCCAATTGGTTCCGTTGAAATAAACTTAGATGGAGCTTTTAGTAAAGATTCTGGTTTGCTGGAATTGGGATTGTTTGCACATATGAAGAGGGTTTGTTTCTTGGTAGTGTGTGCAGAAAAATGAGATCACTGACAGTGATGCTATTTCTTTCAGTGATCAATTTAATTATTCGAAGGTATATTTTGACCCTGATTGCCAAGAACTTTACAGAGCTTTTGTAGCTAAATCCTCAAGTAATGTTGAATGGCAAAACACGGATATAGTGACTGATTCTGGACATGTTGAAAATTATGCTGACTTGACTTTGTATTTGTATTTACCAGCCTTATTTCTTTGCTGGCTGTTTCCCTTCAATAAATATATTTGTTGTTAAAAAAAACATTAAAAAGTTGGGAGAATTGCTCATAGGTC